AACCGCAATGCAATGTCGGATAGTTTATCTTCTGATTTCAGAGGATAACACAGGTAATTTTCAAACGCCTCATGCCTACTTTTAATCAAAAAGTGCAAACACCAGAGTACAATTAAATAAAATATAGAACATTAAGCTATCGATTGTATGTGGCGATTTGAGATTCTATGTCTAAAATTTTTACAATACGCATTCAAAGTTGGCACTTCTTTCACTTCATTTCTACTTAATATTTCTTGCTATTTTGTTTAATTTTTATGTTTTTCCCTATCAGGACAAATAAAAAGGCACTTAAATGCTCAAATAATACATAAATATTTCCTTTTAGTTGAAAATTAAAGAAAAGGGAAATACAAACGAAAACGTACTGTAAGGACAAATCAGGGTTCTCCATGAGCTGTTTTGCTGTGTTGCTCCTGACACAGTAAAATTTTCTCCGACACAGTAACGATTCAAATTTTATGCATGCAACACATTAAAACTTTTGTCGGCACAGTAAGAACTGTGATAATTAGAAAATCTAAACACACAAATTCTCTCTAACTGAGACTTTAATTAAACAATTATATCGTCTTTCAATTATTAAAGATAGAGCACTTAAACACAACGGCTTCACCTTGCATAATCAATTATCTCCTTTAGACCCTTACCGGACTTTACGCATGACGGAGCAAAGACAAATAATTTGTTTTCACACTTCCATGTTAGGGTTTATTGGTAGTTGCAATAAAATACATAGTATTATTTTTTAAAAAATATTTAAATACGTCTTTTCTATAGAGCCACGGTTCTAGAATTATTTTAGCACTGTAAGTCAGACATTATAACGTCATCGTATCGAAGTCATTTAATTGATGTGTACATAAATAAATTGCTTAAAATTTTGAACATGTTCAAGGAACTCTTAAAATATTTTACTGTTCTAAAATTTTCTTCTTTTTTGTAATGTGATAACACGATCAAGAAAACTAATAAATAATCAAGGCAAATTTACTTTAAAAAATGTTAAGTAGTACTACTGTATCGGTCAGAATTTCCTCTGCTTTTCAGAACGTGTTTTTAATTTTATCAATATGTAAGACCATACCATTTGTGTAACTAATTAGCAATTTTTAAATAAGTATGTGGATGTATTCTTTCGTAATTTTCGTAAATAGTGATTTAGTTGCTAATTTGATCGCGAAAAAACCGCGACATTTTTGTTCTTCGCGTTAACTCTGCAACACAGTAACATTTCAAATGATGGAGAACCCTGACAAATGCACTCTGCCTGATATTTTAAACAAATTTAACAATTTAAAGATAAAATAGGTATTATTTAGAGAAATCAAGAAAAAAAGCACCGCCCACTTTATAGCTGTGCAGCATCTAAACTTCTGCCTACATTCCTAGATGAGGCCTCGACGGGGAGTGTGCATCCGCAGTATATATATTTTCACGGACAATGTAAGTTTCAGTCAGATTAGTTTTGACAACGGGTTAGACGTAATTGAATTTAAGTCAGTCTTAACTGATAAGGAGGACGGTTTAACCTTGCTGTAGATTGATCCTAATTTATTTCAGGGGTCTTAAAATCTGAAAGTTTAATTTTACATATACAGGCGATACATGTAGTTCTGCCCACTGTTGTCACGTTCAGAACAGCAAACTTATAAGAAAAACACCGCTATCGTGTCATTAAATGAAATAATAATTAAACTGAATTTTTCAAAAAATTGTTTCTAAAAATTTTTATACTGTTAACACATAATTATGGTACGGGAAAATGAGCTTGGTTATAATCAATTTTCAGACAAGAAAGAGTCTTTAACTAAGCTTTAAACTGAATTATTTATTGACAGCATAATACCAAAATTATTTTATTGATTTAATACCTAGATTTACCTATCATCGTATGAAATTTAACCTTTTATTTGTTTTGGTTGAAAAAAAAATCAGTGTACGGTTCATAAACTGCATGGGAAATGCAAGCGTTGCTGTTATTTGTTTGGTTTAGACTGCCCTTTGTTTTGAAAAGTCCGGTAGGTGGCGACACCTATATCCTCTGTGTTTCGAGGATAAAATATATCCTCCAAAAACAGAGGCCGCCTAGATCTGTATAATTTAATATATTTTGAGGTTAGGTCGATCTTTGATAAAGATTTTGATATTATTACATTTAATGATTTAATCCCTGTTTGATTTCTTTTCTGACAGTGCTTTATTTTCAGATAAGGCATTATCTTGGGACTCAATATTTACAACCACGGTAGGGCCGATGCAAATAAATTAAAGCATTAAAAAATTTGGTGGAGCCTTACTTAACAGAAAGAAAAGTTCTCATGTTGTGTGGAAGATTCATATGAATACATTTACAAGCATAAAAACAAGCTTTCTCCTTAATAAGCATAAATCATCAAGAGGGATTGGTAGATAGCGTCTAGTTTTGGTTTATATATACTCAATTCTATTAAGAAATGTTGGTATTTTTTTAGTTTTGAACTTAATTTAGCTGCAGATTTGTGGCGTTCTAGTTTTATATATTTGTCTTTGACCATATATAAAACCATAACGCTACAGATCTGCAGCTAAACTTAATGTATTAGAATTAAAAATGATTTTTTGATAAGATGCAACTGGAAATAAATATAGCTTTTTATGGACATACTCACCTTTACGACCTCTCCTTGACAATTATGAAATACATTCTCCTTACTACTTGCAATCATAATTAAGAAGTAATGTTATAATCTTTAGGAATTTATTAATCACAAGAAGCAATTAACAATTAACATTTAATTCATTAAACGTCAACCATTTACTTTGCATTCAAAATTGACAGTACATGGTACAATGTCAAACATGTTGAGGCCTGAAAACAGCAATTCAGAAAATGAACAGATTTGAAAAAAAGAAGTTCTCCCTTTACCCCTTTGTCTGTCTATAGATTTTGGTTCTTTTTTCTTTACTCAGTTTTATGTTGGCGCAGTTGTAAGGTTATAAAATAAATAAATAAAATGCCATACAAAAACAAATCTACATTGCATGTAGCCTTTCATCTTTGTAGCCGAATATGTTTCCGCTCCGATCCGAAATCGGTTCGGTTTCGGATCGGAAACCATTGACGAGCGAAAATGGTAATTTTTTAAGGACCTCATTTTCACCTCAAGCTTGATATGATTTTATTCATTTTTTTTGCCAAAGTTATTCAAACTCTCTATTAAGATGCAAACTTGCTTTTAAGATGCAAAGCAAATTTGTGATAGTTTGATCTTCTAGATCAATAAGAGGGATGAGGAACAAAAATTATTTTTAATAAACCCGGTAGTTAATACGGAATTGGAATCAATAAACAAACACTACTAAACATAATTATTATATTCTATATGTTCTTTGAAGAATTACAAATTTTTAATAATATTTGTAGACATTGGAATAATTTTACACATCTTCTTCAAGTCTTGGAACTTTACAACTCTAAAAAAAAAACCAAAGTTCAAAGTACGTTACGTACATTTATGTCATAAACGAAGTATCCGTAGTCAAACTAAGCTTGTCAGTCAGCGATATTATAATAACAAGTGAAATTTCAAAATGACAAATTTAATCGAAAATGTATAAAGCCCAATAACATCAACTTATTTATCAGTGACATGACTCTGTTGAATAAAAATATTTTTGTACTCATACAGTTTGTATATATTTTGTCCAAATTAATCATATCTCACTGGTGCAAAATTTGTACAAGCATTTTCTGTATTGATCGATTTTAAAGTGTAAAATTGTTGATGGAAAAACTATGATAACGTCCTGCGTATTGGGAGGTTTATTTTTCAATGTACACTAAACAGAAACAAGATGGGTTTGTGAAACACAGATGCCCCCGTATGGCAACATAGTCAAGATTAAACTTTTCTTAAATGCAAATTTAATTAATTGGTAACAAAAGTAGGGTATTCTCATTGGAAAACAATTGTGAAATTTGAAAATAAGTCAATGTTAAAGTTTTTTCAATAAGAACAAAAATCTCCAAGGTCAAGGTCAAAAGGTCAATGTAACTGGTATCAAATGAAAGCTCTTGCAACATATAATACTTATGGAGAGTATGGAAGCCCTAGCCTTTACCGTTCAGAAGTTATGACCAAGGTTATTTTTTTTAAAGTAGGTCAAACTCCAAGGTCAAGGTCATATGGTCAAAGTTCTTGTTATCAAATGAAAGGTCTTGTCACAAGAGTTAAATATGTCAAGTATGAAAGCCCTATTAAAAAGTTATGGTCAATGTTTGCATTTTTTAAAGTAGACCAGTCTCAAAGATCAAGGTCAAAGGGTCAAAATTCTTGGTATCCAATAAAGGGTCTTTTCACAAGGATTACACATATGAAGTATGAAAGCCCTATCCCTTACCATTCAAAAGTTATGGCAAAGGTTAAAGTTTTTTAAAAGTAAGAAAATCTACAAGGTCAAGGTCAAAGGGTCAAGGTTGTTGGTATCCAATGAAAGGTCTTTTAACAAAAATTACATTTATGAAGTATAAATGTCCTGTATCCACTGTTCAAAAGATATGGAGAAAGTAAAAGTTTAAAATTTCCATGTAAAAGTGGGTCAAACTCCAAGGTCAAGGTCTTGTCACAAGAAATACACAAGTGAAATATGAAAGTCATAGCTCCACTAAATCAAAAGTTATGGGCAAGGTTAAGTATTTGCAGACAAACAGACAAACAGAGAGACAGACAGAGAGACAGATAGACAGACAGACAGACGGACACGACAAAAACTATATGCCTCCGAAACTTCGTTTACGTGGGCATAAAAAATATTTACAAATCGTGTAAACACAATATGCAAGCACTCACAACAGACGTTTTTTTACGAAGGATGTAAATATATAAATATATTTATAGGTGTCTTTAATCTTATTGATCAGGGCAGAATTTATAAAAGGTCCGTAGAACTTAAAAATCCGACTGATCTTAACCTGTCCAACAGTGGTAATGTACGTATACGAAGTTTAAAGTTGCGATATGAACCGTCCTAAAACAGGATGCACTCCATTAAGATTAACAACATTGGTTGTTAGTGGAATTGCTTTCATCGTACATATAGCTGCTGTGGCTTATCCTGTGTGGGACCAAATTAATGCTACATGGAAACCAAATCCAATGATGCCAGTGGGTTTAAAGATACAAGCTAGCGGTTCACTTTGGGATTTCAATGTCACGATTGATCAAACGCTTTCATTCTTTCCACCGAACCGAAATTTAATGAATACAGGTTCGTTCACTTTCTCGATTATTTATAATTTGATATTATATTACGCATTTTATTTTATATACCATAGCATTTATGATTCCCTTTTTTCAAAACTTAAAACATATGTGTTCAAAGTATAAGCGGAAATTTCGTTCCTGACAGTTTATTTAACATCATTCACTTAAGTTGTGAGATGGATTTTAAAGTTTTTTTTTCTGTCAACAAACGACATCGAAAAGACCAACATGTTCATTAGTAAACTGTTTTGTAAAGTTATTTTAAAAAAATCACAAAGAAAGTTTCCCAAAAAATGATAAATGCATGAATTAGAGAGAGAGAGAGAGAGAGAGAGAGAGAGAGAGATGAAACGTTTATATTATCTCGATCGGTTTTTCTTTATCTTGAAATGAGAAGTGTGTCTTTGTTTTTGTTCTTTAAAGACAAAATATATTTAATTTGATCTTTCCGTCGATTTTAAATTACCAGTATTAAACAATTTATATGGAAGGCCACTTTTAGCTGTTTGATTCTATACAACAGTTCAATCTGAATGGAAAGAACCAATCAGGATGATGGCTTTGTCAGCTATAGGAGTTGGTGCCATAAGCATTATGTTCTTCATAATCTCAGCCTTAATAGACAGATGCGTACAAAACTACGTCATTCTTCTGTTGATCAGAATGCTTCCAATTGCAGCACTCTATTGCACGTGTGAGTTCATTTCATTTGTCTAATTTCATTTGTTTTATTTACAAATATGTAAAAGCCTACAACAGAATTATGTGCCGAATAAGAAGTTTTGATTACGAAAGATATGTAAAAAAAAATGTCCAGTACAATTTTTCTTACATATCAATAAGGTACACACACACACACACACACACCCTCACAAACACACACCGACGCCGACGCCGAGGGTATTACATAAGCTCCCCCAACTTCGTTGAGGTGAGCTAAAATTGCATTAATTTCTGGACATAATTAATCTGAAAAATTTAATTTTTTTCAGCATTGGAAGTAACTAGTGGTGCATTGCTGTACAAATACCAGTATACTAAAACGGCCAGTTATGAAGCATTTGATCTAAATCGCGCTTATCCCATAGATAAGTTTGTGCTTGGGATTGGCTGGCATTTAGAATGTGCTGCTGGAGCATTGTTTAACCTCGCTTCGTTGGTTGCAATATCAGGGTCCATTCATAACAATATTTCAAGTTACGAAAAAAATCCCTCATCAGTTGTACCTTTTGAAGAAGGCAGCAATTCGGAGGATGGAAAGAACTCAGAGAAACGGCAATAAAACAGAAACACTGGTCAAGTATAGACGATTTAATATCTACATAATACAGGGAAAGATTTAATGAAATGTGTGCTATTTTTTCTTGAAAGTAATTACATCTCTTTGTCTTCAAAAAGGATAATCGATTTACTCGATGTTTTCCATAAAAAATAAAATTGGCAAAAGCATCATATTTCTTATGCTGCGATACATTAATATAATTAAATTGTGCACCTTTGAATACGATTTTAAATTCTTTACATTTCAATTATTAAAATTCACGGTTTGAATATTTTTTTTTATTATTTTCTTATTGAGTTTCCATCACTTTTATATGTAATACTTATTCTTTCAGACTTTGTGAAAATTGTTCCACTTATAAGAGTGGACAATACACTACCTACCCATGAATATATCTTTTTTTTCAAAATCAGAGAAGAACGCAAAACGAGTTGTCTAATTAAAACATTTTTAATAATCATCCTTTTACTATAAAAATGCCCTTTAATTATTTGTTTTGTAATGCACAGTAAATTCGTGTGCTTGCTATGGAAAGCCTATCTAAAACATGACATGGGGGTCCCCTATGGCTTCCCATAGCTTGCTCAATATTCCTCTCTTGTCTTACTATCTAACATGCAACATATGGCAAATTTATACAAATCTTACGTTTAATGAAAGAGTTACTGTCTCATTTGTTAGTAATTTAAAACATTCACGACAGACGGAATCTTAGGATAATGTACATATATTGTTGATTCAACATTGATTTTATGTTAGATTTTGAAAATTTGTATCAACGTTGAAGTCTTAACATTGAATCAACATTGATAATCAACGTTGATTATTATATGTTGAAAAACAGTTGATTCAACATTTATTCAATTATTTATTTTTAAGGGGGGGGGGGGTCATATAGTAATAATATACTTACTTAAAATTTCAACCGTTTTATTGTACGGTTGCTAAGATGCCTTCATAATTGTTGAAGGGATAGCAACCCTCTGATAAGACATATAACTTTCAAAGTACAAAATAGTAATACTACTCACAGTTTTCTTAATCAGTTTCCTGAGACCTCTGATTAGTCAATTTAATGAGACCATACATATAATGGAAACATTACTTTCTATTTCTTTTGCAAATTTCTTTTTAATTGTTTTATCATATTTAACAATAAAAAAATTTAAATCCAACACCAAATGCCATACAAATTGAATAAGTTGTATCTTTTTAAGTACTATTTTAAAAATGGTTTAATATTTCAAGTACTTAATACAGTATTTTAATTAGAATGACTTTTTTTCACATGAAGAAATATTCAGAAGAAAGATAACTCCTCATCACAGATATATTTTTTTTTCTTACAACCACATACAACATTGTAATTTTCTGACTAAGGAATCATCGCTCCATGATGTTTTCTAACATGATTTAAATAGATATAATAGTAAGTATTATTTTCATTTGCACCTAATATATTATATTTAATGTTGTGGTAATAAATTGTTTCTCTTTCTATCCTCTGTGTTAAATTTCTTCATTTCATGATCTGCACATAAAAATCATTTCTGAGAAAATAAGCAGCGCTTTATACTTCAAACTAATTTCCTTGCGGCTCTAATGTTATTGTTGTTTATGAAAATCAATATTACAAATTTTAAGCTTTCTAAGGTGAAATTTATAGCAGAGGGTCGGGAAATAAAAACATACGGTATATAAAATAAGTATGAAATTCAAACGGATCATAAAACTTGAGTCCATTTTGCTTTAAACCCTCAAAACAAATTTCCAATAAGATGCACTTGACAAAACTGCAAAGGCCTAAGAAGAGCAAAGATTTGCAAGAACACAAAAACAGTTTTATACGCTATTTTTTTTAAAAAAAATAAGCAATCTTGTTGATCAAATTCATATATAAGAATCCTTACAAACAAAGATACATTGCAGGTTCCAGTAAATGTTCAACCAAGCCTCTTTCGTTACTTCTCACTAAGATATTGACAGTAGTGAAGGAAAAACTTCAAGAGTACTGTACAACTATATATTCAAGAAGTGGTGTAAATCAGATGTGGATACTTAAAAATTCTAAAGAACTTTTGGACAATTTGAAATCACAAGATTGTACAAAAATCAACAGCTTAAAAACTTACGACCTTTCAACTTTATACACAACAATTCCGCACGACAAATTAAAATCCAGGCTTTTTGATATCATTGACAGCTGCTTCTTCAACAAAAATGGAACTTGTAAATTTACTTACCTCGTCATTGGTCATTTGAAAAATTATTTTGTTAAAACAGATTCTGATTGCACACATAAGTACTCTGAAGTTGACATCAAGAAGATGCTTGAGTTTTTGATTGACAATATCTATGTGGTTTTTGGAGACCAGGTATTCCAACAATCTATTGGAATTCCCATGGGTACAAATTGGGCTCCATTATTAGCAGACTTATTTTTATATTCATATGAAGCAGAACTTATGCAAAATCTTATGCGTGAAAAGAAGAAAACACTTGCTGTGGCCTTCAACTCGACATTTAGATATATCGACGACGTATTGTCAATTAATAATGATAATTTCCATTCCTACGTCGACACGATATATCCTGGTGAGCTTGAGATAAAAGATACCACAGAGTCCGACACTTCTGCTTCATACTTGGATATTTTACTTGAAAAAGACACTAAGGGTAATCTAACAACCAAGCTATATGATAAACGTGATGACTTTAACTTTTCTATCGTCAACTTCCCTTACTTATGCAGCAATATACCTTCATCACCTGCATACGGAGTATATATATCTCAGTTGACTCGATACGCAAGAGCATGCTCTACGTATGAACAATTTCTTAAACGAGGCATATTATTGACAAGCAAGTTGATGAAACAAGAATATCAACAGTCTCGTTTAAAGTCATCATTTCGTAAATTCTATGGTCGATACAATGACCTTGTCAGCAAATACAATTTATCATTGAATAAAATGCTGACTGACGTTTTTCATACCAATTGTTAGTCCATTATTTATACATTGAATTGACGACGGATTTTTTCCGTTATTTCCTGATTATGACAACGAGCACACGGCGGGTGTGATCGGTCGGTAGGGGATGCTCACTCCTCCATGGCACCTGATCCCACCTCTGATGTTTCGGAGGTCCGTGTTTGCTCTGCTCTTATTTTGTATATTGTTTAATGGACGTTGAGAATGAATACTGTTCGTTATTTCCATATCCTTCTTGGAAGGCAGTTCAATTTCTGGAGGAATCTAGTAAACAAAATATTTGCAAAAAAATTGAAAGGTTTATGAGAGAAAGGAAACAGAATGTGGAATTCACTACATTAAATTTCTTCATGACAGCGTCCAATCCCACAGGCCATGAAGATTAAATAAGTTTTTGAGTAAACAGAAATTTTGTCACATCAACAATATTCACCAGATCTTTTAACCTTTGACTTGTTTCATTTCCCAAACTTAGGAAATCACCTTTCAGAAAGAAAAAAAAAACTAGTATAGCAAATCATAGCATAGGCCATATTCCAGTATATGAAGGGTCATACTCAAAAATGTGTTCTGAAAACAATTAGAAATTGAATAAAAATGTGAATTTTTTAGTTAAACCATTAAGACAAAATCATAGTAAAGCGTTTTTTGTTTCTTTCCGAGCCCTGATGACATTATTTATTGAACGTCCCTCGTATATTTGCCATTCTCCTCTGATTTCTACATTGTTTTCAAAATGATTTTAGATATACATGTAAGTATACCAAAAATTGTGATATAGGCCATTCAAGAGATTACCCATAAGCGTTATATGAGGAATATGACTCTGTGGTATCTTGTCCAAATGCCTGGTAAGTACCCTAATTTTTTCTGAGAAACTTGTGTAAGTACCTTTACTTCAATGACATTTTTAAGGAAAAATCATATGTTTTTGAGGAATGTTTCTTCTTACCATAATGTTGTATGAATTGACTAAGCATATATTTCAAATCATGGTATCTTAGCCAAAATATACCGGTAGCATTCAAATGAATGTAAATATTCTCAAAATATGATGAAAGAAACAAAAAAAAATGGATGAATAAGTATATATTTTTGGATCTATTTTGGTTGTAAATGATATTAGTAGTAAACTTTCTAAAAAATTAAGAAAAATTTAAGTCAGTGGTAATTTTGGAGTTGCAGAGTATAACAAAAACCTAACTTGTTACATTGTATCTGGTGCACTGTGACGTTATACAACGTTATCGTTTTTTGCCCATTCTAATGAGGACAGCCTACATTACTTACTAATTTTTCCCAATTAAGCAATATTTTGAATCATTTATAATATGAAACGATGTGACAATTTTTAATGTGCTTGTCTTATATTTTGTTTTAGTTTTTTGCATGATTTTACATAGGACATTATATTACTGGACATTACATTGTATACGTAAACATCTAAATTTTGACCTGCACCGCGATCCAATTTTCGTCATTTTGAAATTTAAATAAGTATAAAATATAAAATATTTTAACAATTCTAAATACATTTTATTTGAATTTATTGTTAAAACATTACTACCAATTTAGGATACGATTTGACGCTTAGTAAAAAAAACTTTCCGAACAAACCTCGTACTTATGTAGCTGAGTTGAATGTTTTTACTTTTTAAAAAGAGTTCTTAATTTCATTAATAACCTTTGAATAAAAAAGTACTTTAATTACTTCAAAGAAATGATGCATGACTTGTGAAAAGATCTATTATCATGTATTGACTTAAAAAAATTAATCTTTTAATTGTGAGGTTTTTACCACAATGTAAAATAAAAGTTGACTAAAGTTTTTTTTAGCTGAATAACATTCATTTTTTGCATTTCCTTTAAGGCAAAGCCCTTCTATGGTGTCATTTCTATGCCATCCAAATATTTATTTGTGAACATGAGATATCAGTTCAAGTCAAGATAATTCACTGATTTTATCGAGATACACCAAATTCTATATCGTCTAGTCAGGAAAAATTA